TTATCCCTCACATATCAATGTATGCTTTCTTCTTTAACCACCCATACAGAACCTAAAACCTATCAACAAGCTATCCAACACCATGATTGGAGAGTTGCTATGGAAAATGAGATTCTTGCTTTGGAATCAAACAACACTTGGGAATTAGTTCCTTTTCCACCTAGAAAAAAAAGCCATAGGCTATAAATTGGTGTACAAAATCAAACTTAAAGTTGATGGGAGTATCGAAAGGTATAAAGCTTGCCTTGTAGCCAAGGGCTACACTCATCAAGAGGGTATAGATTATACTGAAACTTTTTCCCCTGTTGCTAAAATGGTTATTGTTTGTACTATCTTGGCTTTGGTTGCTATGAATAACTGGTCATTGTTTCAAATAGATGTCTTTAATGCTTTTCTACAAGGATATTTACAAGAAGAAATTTATATGAGAATTCCCCAGGGGCTTGAGCATACTGGTCAGAGTAAGAATACAGTTTGTAAGTTACTCAAGTCTTTATATGGCTTAAAACAAGCCTCCAGACAATGGCACCGTAAGTTTACTACTGCTCTTCTTCACAATGGTTTTCAACAGTCCAAGAATGATTACTCTTTGTTTACTAAGAGGCAAGGATCCAGCTTTGTCATATTGTTAGTTTATGTTGATGACATTCTCCTTATAGGCAATAACCTTACTGCCATTGCTGAAGTGAAGAGAAATCTCAATTTCAAGTTCAAAATAAAGGATCTTGGACACATGCGATATTTTTTGGGGATGGAAGTTAGTAGGTCTAGCAAAGGTATTGTTCTTAATCAGCGAAAATATGCTTTGGAGATTCTCTCTGAAGCTAGTTTGGCAACCACTCGACCTGTAGACATTCCCTCTGAACAACATTTGAAATTAACTTCTATAGCACTTGACTAGATTTCAGCTGAAACCAAAGCTGATCCCTCGTTAGCAAATCCTTCTTCTTACCAAAGGTTAGTTGGCAAGCTCATTTATCTATGTATGACACGCCCTGATATATGTTACTTAGTCTAGAGTTTGAGTCAACATATGCATTTACCCAAATATTCTCACATGCAAGCTGCTATAAGAGTCTTGAAGTATGTCAAACAGAATCCTGGTCTTAGAATATTATTCTCCTCCACAAAACAGTTACACCTTACTGCTTATTGTGATGCTGATTGGGCCTCCTGTCTTATTTCTCAACAATCCTTGATAGGTTACTGCATCAAATTTGGCAACTCCTTAATTTCTTGGAAAACAAAGAAACAATCTACTGTTTCTCGATCTTCTTGTGAGGCAGAATATCGTGCCATGGCTTCCACATGTTGTGAAATAACTTGGATCCTTAGTCTATTTTGTGATCTAGGGATACAAAATTTGCAACCTGCTACTTAATTTGTATTATGATAACAAAGCAGCTCTTCATATTGTAGTCAATCTAGTTTACCATGAAAGGACCAAACATCTTGAAATAGAGTGTCATCTTATCCGTGAGAAGATTACAACCAATGTCATCCAGACTGCTCACCTTTCTTCTAATGAGCAGTCAGCTGATTTGTTCACCAAAGGTTTATGCAAGAGACAACATCGTCACTTACTTTCCAAGCTTGGACTCTTTGATATTCATCATATGTCCAGCTTGAGGGGGGATATTGGTTAATAGTTAGTTGAGTAGTTAGTCTAGTAAAGGTTAAGTTAAAGTGACAGTAGTTAGTACGTCTAGTTAATTCATCTTTGTATTAATTAGTTTTATTGTAGCTAAATCCAACTGTAAGCTACTTAAATACCCAAAATGTAATAGAAGGTATTAGACTTGAATAAAAAAAAGATAGTTTTTTGTTCTCTCTCAGTCAAGGAGTTTTCACTTCTTCTCTTTGTAATATATAATAATTGGAATTTGCACGCTTTCTCTTAATTTGATCTTTGAATCCTCTAACCCTATTTTGGTTTCTACCCTTTTTTCTCAGATAGTCATTTATTCTTAGATGCAAAATATTGACTAATATTACAAACATTCTTGTGGTTTCAAAGATTAAGTTATACTTATATCAGTCAATGCAATATTGTTTTATTATAGGTTTTATTTTGTAAATTACGGATCCGAACCTGAAAATTTATTTTCAGACTATTCTGTTAATTTCTTTGCTTTTGATATCATTTCAGTCCAATAAACTGAATCTAACAGTATTTCTTATTTATAGTACCATTTTCTTCCAATTCGTAAATGAATTCATAGGACATTGGTTGATGATTTTATAAATGAATAGCCTTGTGTTATTTTTGCATTCTCGTTATTTAAATTTATATATTTTATCATATGTTAATCTAAATTTATAAAACAATATACATATATTTTTTTTTTCTTGTACTTTTATTAACTTAATAAACTTTTCCCATATTGTGTATAAACAAAGTTATTCATGGTGTCCCTTATTCTTAATCTATGGTTTCAGAAAGAGTAGAGTTGGAATAAATGTGACAGACAGTGACAATATTTCATCAACTTGTATTTACATTTATATATTTTTTCCATGTTAATCTAAATAAATTTAGAAAACAAAAAAAATGTTTTATTTTTTGTACTTTTATTAATTTACGTAATCAATAAAGTTACTCATGATGTCACTTATTCTTAATCTATGGTTGCAGATAGAGCAGAGTTGGCATAAATGTGTCAGCCAGTGACAATTGAACATCATATGTATGTGGATGCCTTAAAAATATATTAGATAGTTTTTTTTTTTTTTTTTTTTTTTTTGTTAAATTTGTATAGTTTTTGTTTCTTAAATTATTAAAATTGGAAAATTGAATGTTATTAAAAGTTATTATTTTACTTTCCATTAAAATCTCTCGTATTCTTAACTTAATCTAATATATAAGATAAATTCTTCAAAACTCAAATATTGTTACAAAAATCATATTTAAAACAATATATATACATTTAACCACTATTGGGTGGTCTGAATGTAAAAAAAACAAAAGGAGGTTTCATTAGCTTTAGAGTTTGAATCCCTTAGACACTAATAAGGGTGATCACTCGAACTCTTATTCGGTTGACAATTTCAAAACCCTGAAAGAATAATTAAGATACGCACAAACTGATTCAAATACTCTCGATGAAAATAATATATATATAATTTCAATTATTCAAATGGATTGTACAGAAAATATGGACTAGGGAACCTGTGGCTGTGGATGTTTAGGAGAAAAGTGATTTTCAATTAATTTTTAATTTTGGGAATGATTTCACTAAGTAAGTATATGTATCAATTTCTTATTTAAACTAAATGTGACAGTTGATTTGATATTATATATATTATAAAAGTGCTAAAATTGTGTCAAATTAGAGTCAAGATATTTGAATACAATGATAACGTTTTGTCTTCTGGTGATTTTCAGGGTGTGAACTGTGAAGTTCTCCTCTAGGAGAAATTTCAAGCTCTCGATATATACTGAAATAAGAGGGTTTGGCTTGGAAAAAAGGTAGCTTGGTCTATTCCTTTTACATAAATAATTTGTATTGGAATTATAGTATGAATATTTTTATCTATTTGTCTTTCTTCTATATCTGAAATAAGATCGAGGCTTGACATGGGAAATGAGAATTACTTTTTCCGTTGAAGCTTCCACTGGAAATATGAAAATTATTCCTATGTCTATTTCTGTTCCAATTCCACATTTCGTATATGCCAAATAATTATATAATTATTAAAATTTGTAAAATGAAATACATTGAACAATAAACAATGTTATAATAACTAGTAAAATTTTGTTATAGCTTAATTAATCCAACATAATGACGTACCTAATACAATAAGACTTGAGAATAAAATAAAGCAAATTACATGGTCACCGACTATGTACGGCATAAAGGAAAGCTTATCTCATATTTTCATTGGTTTTATAAACAAATAACGCCGTTCATTTCTCCGTTAATCTTAATATATACTTCTAAAATTGAAAGTGAAGTCTTCTTAAGAATGGATGTTGGAAGATTCATTGAAACAACACTATTTTTGGTACATTTTGCAATGAAATTTAAAAAAAACAGAAGTTCTATGTAGATCACAATTTAAGTAAGCTTCACACTTAAATTGACTAGACTAATGGCAGCTTTCATTTTTTTTTTTTTTTTTTTTTTTATCATTAACATGATCGACGGTTAATTAAATCTAAAATTTGCGTAACATATATGCTATGTGTAGTACTTTGTGGTAATACAATGATACCCAATGATTTCTCGCAAAAGAAATGTTTGTGTTATATTTTTACATTTTTTTAGTTTATATGATGATCTAAATGATCAATTATTGATTAATTATATACATACGAAGTTATATTTGTTGGAGTCTTACATTGAATAGACACGCTTAAGTCTACTGGTTTATAAGAGAAGATAATTCTCTCATTCAATAAAATCTATTGGATGAGAAGTCAAACTCACTTCAAATTCTATCATGGTATCAGAGTCCATGTTCAATTAAGTTGAGTGTTTGACCGACAAGCAACTATCTCCAATAACAGACATAACCCAACATATGAGTTTCTTCTCATTCAACAAGGTTTGATAATTTAAATTCAAATAAATCTAGTTAATTAGGTTATATATTAACCTTTAAAAAGAAATAGTGGTAAAAGGGAGATAATAATCGATATATATATATAATATATATTTATAATATATATATTATATATATATATATCTATATTATATTATATATATAATTATATATATATATATTGGAAAATGATTAACATCTTTTTAAAGAAAAGGAGTAATTAATCTTACGGTAATATTACTTTTGAACTTTCATAATATTACATAAAAGATCACGCTTATTTCATAATTTTCTGCTTATTAAAAAAACATCTTCATCTTCTTCGCTTGGAGACCCTTTTTAACTGTAAGAGCTTCAAGCCCTGCAAATAACAAACAATAAAGGGGAAAAAATTAAAACAAAAAAAGAAATTGGAAACTATATGTTCCATTACTGATCATATGTGAACGGTAAACTTACCGGTTAAATTCAACTTTAACATTGCCGGCATCAGTATCAGCAATAACAGCGAAAGCATCTTTAGAAAGATTAAGATTCCATTGCACTGTGGTCTACAATAATCAACCACCGTTACCACGACACTAGCACCGTCGTGGCAGGGTGCGGCGCCGTATTCGTCGCCCCTATCATCGCACTCGGTACTGTTTTCCGCACGCTGCTCCGCCTTCCATAGGGCATCGCTTACCCCTGTCACCATGTTTCCACGGTCTTGGTTCGTATAGCACGCAGAAGCTCCCAAAACAATATATAATATACTACAGTTTCAGTACTGATCTGAATATGTCATTACGTTTTTGAAATATTGGATTACATCAATCGAACGATTTTGTAAACGGCTAATTACGTTTAAGTTAATATATGGAGGATAGTAATGAAATTACTTACGGGTATAAGGGGATTGTAGTAATAGCATTTGCTTGATCGGCGTGTGCTGCTGAAATAAGGCATAGTGCGATCCAAGAATCATAAATATTTGCATCTGAATGCATTTTTGGTTCAAAACAAGCAATTCAGTCGGTGGTTATGTTTGTAGTGCAAATTAGAGAGGCTCTCTTCCTTTTTATAGAAGCTGAAAGACCAGTTTGTCAAGAACACCGCGTCAACCTACCAATATACGTCTCCTATAAATATTTAATTTAATAACTATCATCACTATTGATAAATACTTACATGGACCGTCTTACCAATTTATTTTTTAATGTGGTAAGACCATCCAATGATATACGATTGATTATTACATATTTAATTTCTTTTTCATTTATCCATCACGAACCACTTTAAAAAAGTGCCTGGTGAGACTTAATCATATAGGTTTTTTCTCATATTCTAATCAAATTAATTATAAAAAAAATAAAAGAGAAAAAAAATAAGGAATATCTAATTTTCTTTGATATTTAGATTTTATCCTAAAAAAAATGATAATTGCAAGCATATTATATCATTTATATATCAAAATGACGAAAGATTACAAAAACTAGAAATCCAATAACATGTTGAAAATTAAATTAGAATTCACTTTTAAAATTCTTTTAATAACTAGTAATACATTAATATTGTCATTGACACTTTTTTCTCTGACTGACTAATAGACTAATGGCAGCTTCATTTTTCTTTGTGTGAAGTGTGAAAATAATGAAGTCCTCCATCAAAAAAGTGTTGCTTGAACTTGCGTTTCAAACAAGTATGGCCTCTCTTTAATGCTCTTCAATTTCTTATACCTGTTTTCGTGAAACTAATGCTCGTAAGAAATGGCTTTGTTTAGTCAATAGTCAATGCATCTAGTGCGATGACTGTATTGTCCCTCTGCTTCCTCGTAGGTTCAATTTAACAACTCTTTAATTTCTTGCTGGTAAATGGTTCAAAATACAAAGCTTAACCATTGACTTGACTTGCAATGACTTTATATTCTGTTTTAGGTCAATAATTTTTTAATTAGCATTGAATTTCAGAATTTTCTCATATTAGTTACTTTTAATTAAAGAGATGCCATCTTTTAACTTAAAATATATGGCTTAAACCTGACTTATAATAGAAAAAAAAAAAAGGTGGATTTATTTATATGAATGGGGTTTTTCTTGACCCGTTTGAAGTTTGATCAGTTAAAAAAATTTTCTCTAAAATTTCAGAACAATATAATCCTTTTGCTTGTGGTGTCGTTAGAATTATGATAGGATAGATTAATGAATATTTACCCCTTGTTGTTGAAATATTTAACGGTAGAGAGATTTTAATTACTATAACATTTTTTTTTAATTTAATTATACCTAAGAAGATTATTTTATTAACTCTATATATATAGTATAAATAATATTAATGTCATATTAATCCACGTTTCTCTAATTATTTCGTAAATTGTTGTAAAGAAAAAATTATAAAACTGTGATTGCTAATTGGTTGGTAGTTAATATAAAATAAAACCAATATAAACCTTAACCACAATTTTTATTATTTACACATTCAACTATTCTGTTAAAGTTCAAGAGAACTTATGCCTAATTCTTCTTTTTACCATCACTTAGCTTAATACATAATCAATCTGGTGTGAAAAAAAAAAAAAAAAAAAAAAAAAAAAAAAAAACCATAAAGGGTTGCCTTGCCTCCAACTTATGAAAAAAAAAATCAACTATAATTTTCCTCAATTATTAATGTGTACGGTACAATTTAATCCTCGTCTAGTCAATTCTATAATTGGGTAGCTATCAAATTAATTAAGTCTCCCAACATTTTTTTGTCATTGGGTTTAATAATGAAGTAGGCAACATGACAAATAATCATCTCATCAAATCTGTTCTTAATTCATAGGTTCCTCATATTTTATTTAAATATGTGAAATTAATAGTTCTTCAATTTAACATAAAAGTAAGATGTATAGCATAAATGAAGCAAAAATATTACTTTACACCTCAATTTCATAACCTTCCTTACACCCTATTGTAGCAACAGAGTTGCAATACAGCGTCAACTAACCGACTTTGACTAAACATGAACACACCGTTCCTTAGAGATGAACGATCGTTTATTCATAAGGAATGATGGTTCTATTTATAAGAATTATTGTTTCTTCATAAGGAACAATCATTCATAAGAAATGAACGTTGTTCTTTCATAAAGATAACTATTCTTTATGAAGAAACGATCATTCGTCCATAAGAAACGATTGTTCGTGTCTAGTCAAAGTTTTTAGTGCATTGGATGTGCTGGGAGCTAATATGACAGTTGTCACACGTTGGGTTGAGTTGGGTTGAAAAAAATTGTGAGATGGGTTTGTGCGTAGAATTGCTCAACTTGGAAGTAAACTTAGAGGAGTTCAAATGTTTAATGGCTGCAACTTGGAGATGAGGCCCACCACGAAACTGGCTCTTTGGTTAACATTCTTAGTTGTCTAGCTACGCTTGGTTGATATCATATTTGGCCTACCAAGACCCTTTTAAAGTGGGAGAAACGACATTTTCCCCCACCTGCAAGTTTTAAAATGACACTTTCCTACCTTTCGTCAAGTTTTGTTAGTATTTTATGTTAATATTTGATTGAAAAGATAAAAATATCCTTAAATAGTTTTCTTTCTTATTAGTTTATTATGAATTAAAATTTAGTTAAGTCAAAGTCTTACTCAATTATTTATTAGTTCAGTGGAATTTTTTTTTTCCTTTATTTATTTAATTAATTAGGAATATTGATTTTTTTATGTTATTGGTAAAATGAAAAACATTATATTATGAAAAACATTATAAATTTATAGATAATTTGAATAATAGTGATGAAACATAGATGACATTATATAAATAAATATTAAAATCATTTAAACTTTAAACATTCCATAACAACTCTTATTTTGTAGGTTGGAGCCAACTATTTTGTTCTTTTTGACTTTTTGACTAATTAAAAAATAAAAAAATTTATAAAGTCAAGCATTTAAGGATATTTGTCTTATCAGTCAAATATTAACGAAACATAACAGAACCTAACGAAGGTGGGAAAGTGTCATTTTGAAACTGAAGGGTGGGAAAGTGTCGATTCGCCAAACCTTGGGTGGGAAAATGTCATTCTCCCCTTTTAAAGTGTTTTGGTATCAAAGCTAGCACATATCATATGAGAATAAAAAATTTAGATATCTTATGTTAAAGATATTAATTTTATGTCAAACAACATCTATTATTAATCAAAGAATATTAAAGTTATCAAACTGTAACAGGTTTCATATCTTGAACTATATATTACATTGACATAATAAGAAGTGAAAAAAATATAAATTTAAAAGTTACCAAGAATCTAGATATATTATTGATCTAGCTAGTAGTACTTTTAAAAATACAGAATTACAAATTCATAACATTATCTCTATTAGATGTATAAGCTTTTTTATATAGACTAATTCATGTATTCAAAATATTAATAATAGGATTATGTGATTCGAGGATTAAAAATTAAACAAATTAATTGATATGGCTCCATTTGTTTTAATATTTTTACACTATCTTATTCCTATAATTCTGAAAATACACATTTGTTTTTTTATTCTAAAAATCCTATTCAATTTTATTCTACTACTTTTAAACCCTTAGGTTTGTCAATTTAACTAAACACCCCCCAAACAAAAGTTTAGAAATTGACAAAAACATCTCCACCCACACACATTTGCTAGATTTTGGCCACCACCGCCGGAAGGTGGCCGAAATCTAGTATAATAATGCACTACTGGATGGATTTAAAAATTAACAAAAACACCCCCCACGTACCCTATAAATTGATCAGCATAATCCATCAACTTTCAGTCTTTCACAAGTTTTCTGGATATATGCACTGTTTTATTATAAGAATGATGCTATGGGTACTAATGAATGAGTACTAATATGTGTACTAACTAAAGCACGGGTACTATGCTTTAGTTAGTACACATATTAGTACTCATCCATTAGTACCCAAAGTATTATTCTTATTATAAATAATAAACACTAAGGCTTTCCATTCCCGAAGCTTCTCTTCTTAGTCTTGGAGAAAACTTCAAACCCTGCAACGAACAAATAAAGAAATTGTACAATCAAACTTTTTTCATTGAAAACTGTGAAATTTATATTATCTAACGAGAAGTTTTTCAAAAAAATGTAAAAGTCTGCATGTAAATAAAAGAGGGCATTTAGACATACGGAGTGTACTCGATCTTGATCTTTCCCGCTTGGCGATCTTAGCGAAAGCTTCCTGGGAGAGATCAAAGGTGGCTCGGCATCCTTGTGGACATAAATCAACAATTTTAACGACAACGCTGGCACCAGTGCAAGGTTGTGGCACGCCTTTGTTTGTGGCACCGATGCATTTGACTCTATAACTACAACAAAAAGGGTCTTTAGCTACGAATTTTTTCGTTGCTAAAAACCTAGAAATCGTTGCAGTATACGTTTAACGACGAAAGAAAATCGTCGTCATGATCGTCGCAATAGGCATGTCGCGCTTTATTTTAGGCGACGATTTGTTAAAATTCGTCACTAAATCTGGCGACAAACCAAAAAATTGTCGCCTATACCATTTTCGTCGCTAAAACTATTTACCAATGAAATATTAGATGTCGTCGCCTAAAGTTAATAGCGATGTACTCTCTATTGTGTCGCCTACACTATACCGCGACGAGATGTGTATTTGTGTTGCCTAACGTATACCATGACAAAATGTGAATTTTGCTCGCCTATGATATACCGTGACGAAATGTGCATTTTTGTTGCATAAAGTTAATAACAACGTCATAATTGTGTGCATCGCTTAAAGTATATAGCAACAAAATATGACATTTTGTTACTTAACATGTAGTGCGATAAAATATGAGTTGTCGTCTAAAGTAATTAATATTTAATTTATCTAAAACATTTTAAAATTTAATTCTAAAAACATAAATATTAATTTGTAAATGTAATTAATTGAAATCACACAAATATATCAAACCAAATATATTATAGAATTATATATGTTAGTTTTCAAATAAAAAGTTAAAAATATCTAAAGTTGACAAAATTGTAATATTCAACAAAAAGTAACAATTGAAAACTCAAATTGTTGTAGGTGGTGGAGGATCCGGTGAAAATTGGCTCGGGAATGAGCCATCAGAAGAAGAACCCATATTAACTGAGATGAACTGCTGCATTTTCTCCATCATTTGCCTATATTGGCAAAATTCTTCCCTTATGTCTCATAGTTCTTGCACCTCCTCACACAAGTGTGTGAATTCCTCTAAAACTTCTTGATTGGCTCGCCTTGAAGTCTTAGAAGATGCAGGTCGTTTTGGACCATAACTCAATCCACGATTTGTTCCTACAAAAATAATATATATGTACATACACACAAATGTATAAATTAAAACAATATAATTTTATAAATTAAAAAATTAAAAGGTATTAGGTTATAATATAAATATAATATAAAAATATAATGAACTTTTATACAAAAAAAATGAAATACACTAGATAATACTTACATATCGAACCTTGGCTTCATCATTTATCCAAGTATTTATTTTACTGCTAAAATGAGTGTCATGGAATAAATGCACCTCCCCTTAGAGCTAGCCTCCTAATATTCAAAAAAAAATAAACAAAAAACAAATAAAAGACAATTAATATTAAAATAAATAAAAATTACAATATACACATTAAATAAAAAATTATTCAAAAATAAATATTTCAAACCTTTGAATTATTTGTTTGGTGAAAAACAATTATCGAAATAAACCCTACCCATAAGCTAATTAAGATACTCAAGGACTAAAAGATCATTCAAATCAATATCAAACTTTGTCTACTAAAAAAACAATATTCAATATATTAGTAATTAATAAAATTAAAAACAAGTTTACCAATAAGCGAGTCATAATCAATTTTTTATCATCAAGGTCAATCTTCTTGCTCCAAACAAATCTAAGAGTCAGTTTCTTTCACTAAAACTAATCTAACAAAGAATCAATCACAAACAAATCTGAAAGATTAAAAATAAAAATTAATTCAAAAACCAAAATTACCTCAGCCATCTCAACCTTTCCAACGGTTTCAAACAGGCCAGCGAGCTGGGCACTGTCATTTGATGTCCCTTCTTCATGCCATATAAGCACTTCACAATTTAGTATTCAAGCTCATTCTATTACCTGAAACTGCTCAAAGGTATAGCTTAACAGCCTTGGCATGTAACAATAACATGTTGTGCATAACAATGAGGGGCTCTACATCAGAGTTGCCAGCAGAACAATTTCCAAATGATGCTGAACAGTGAGCTGGAGGGTACCATCCCCTAACATATCCCATTTCGCTTAACAGGTTCGGCTCGTTGATGGTTGCCAACTCTTAAATCTATCACTAAAATTCTCAAAGCATATTTTGGCAAAATGAACGAAATCTTCCCTGCAAGAACACTGAAACCACATACTGTACCAACAAAACTGATTCATCATAACTAAATGAACAAGAAAGGGATTAAGGGATCTTAGAGCAACCAGGTATTGCAATCTTAAAAGCAAAAGTACTTAAGAAACCCCTTTAGAGAATGGTAGAACTTAGTTACTAGGCATATATTCAGAACCTATTGAAAATAAAGTCGAGCATTTTTTTTCAGGGAAACAGAAAAGCTTATAGAGTGTGAACATAAGTTAAATGAATTAGAGGGCTGAGCCAAGACCCATATCTATCTTCTAGTTCTTGTGGTAAGTCAAAAATGGAATATGGTCACAAACAGCTCAATTCCTACATTAACCAATTCATATTCGTCATCTTCAAGAATATTGTAAAAAAAAAAAACACTAGTGCTTAAGTTATAGATTCATTGAAAAGGATATTACCTCTGAGCAAGAGATGGTCTATAATATTATTATAAGACATGATTCCACTTGGATTAACTTCACCAAGTCTGCCTTCTGTTACAGCTCAGGAACATTATCATCAAGTAGTTGAATATTAATCTCACTACATTAACATTCAATTAATTGCTACTAAGAACATACTTGGTAAAATTCTAACCATGAAATTGAGAACCGGTACGCATTTACTCCAAGTGAATGCATAATCTCAATATCTTCCTGTGAAAATAAATAAGAAATTCATGTATGTTGAATAGAAGTTGCAGGTAAGTAAAAAATTAGTAAATTCAACCATTCATTTACCGAGAATCGGTGGTAATGATCATCAGCAACATCTCCATTATCATTCATTTCTTTAATTGACGAATCTGTTCAAGCGATTCTTGAGTTCAATCAGCTCCTTTTTCGAATACGACGCGATATAGAAGGTCACATAATTGCCCAAGAGGAGAAGTGACGGATTTAGGGCAGAAATTGGAGTAGAAGTGGCGGCCGGAGTGGAGAAGTGGATCTGCAATGGCGTTGTCGGCGGTAGGGTTTTGTGGTTTGGGGATTTTCGATGCCAAAGGGAAGAGGACTGTAGATTTTAGGAGCTAGTAATTTTTTTTTAACTTTTTTTACTTATAAGGGTTCAAACGTTTTTCCATTTGAGGCAAATTTTATTATTTATTTATTTTTTTTAAACCGGGTTTGGGTTTTTGAGGTTCTCTTTAATTTTAGATTTATAATCTTTTAAATTTAAATTTTTTCTTTTTTAATTTAAACGGAAAAAAATTTTTAACGAAAAATTTAAATCAGAAACGAGAACTTTTTTGTTCAATGCCGAAAATAGGTCGATTATGAGGGTTTGCCAAAATGAGTGAAATAGGGAGTAAGAATAAGTTTTAAGGAAAAAACTGTGGGAATTGTGAATGAAAAATTGGTGGCAAAAACTAGGTGGGAAAAGTTTGAGGCAAATTTTTTGTTTTTTATATACACCAAGTAATCCTAAAGAAATTGCTAGTTTCATTTTAATTAGTAGCATATCCTCGAGTAATCCTAAATTACCCAAGAAATCCTAAAGTAATAATTTTACTCAATGTAAAATAAACAATGGGTAATTTTTCCTACCCTAGTGTATATATAGACAATTAAAATACTGTAACCACAAATAGATAATGTTGTCTTGTGATAGACCATGTCCTTGAGTTTTACATGTATCACATTCTTATGATGTGAATACCTGCATCCACTGTTTAAAGAACCGAACCGTACTTGTTAGTCAGACCAATCAAACCGGAACCTGATACCTTTAACGGTCCAGTTTTCTCTAAAAATTGGAATACACATCGGCCTTGTTTCCATATTGATGTCGAAGTTAATGAACAAGAAGAACTTCGTAGTGTGGATGTGGAACCAGAGGTTGTTCAATTTGTGGAGCCAAGTAGTGAAGTTAGTGATTATGATATCAGTTTCATAATGATGATAGTGAAAATGAGATGAGTGATGAAAATTTTTCCAATGATAGTGAAGAGGTATAAGTTGAACATGATATTGAGAATTAATAATATTTATTATTGTTATTGAAGAGTCAAACTTCTATGACATTATTTTTTATATTGACACTGCTTTTAATTTTGATTTCTTTTATTACTGATTGGTTTCACACTTTCAGTTATTGTCATATAAATATAAAATTACATTAAAAATTAAATTCTAACATACTAATGGCAACGATTTTAAGAAAATCGACACCAAAACGTTTTCATGACGAAACATAGATTGCGTTGCAATACATTTTTGGCATTGTTTTTTATATTTGCGTCACCTAAAACGTTTTCTGACGAACTATTTGTTGCATAACCATATGGATTTTGCATCATTTTTTATATTTGTGTCGCCAAAAACATTTCCCGATGAACTATTTGTTGCGTAGCCAGATGGATTTTGCGTCATTTTTTATAGTTTCATCAACAAAAAGATGTTACGACGGGCCTTTTGTCGTGTAGCTAAACTTCGTTGGCTTCGCTTTCTATATTTTCGTCGCCAAACACATTTTATGGCACCGTACATTTGCATTGCTAAATACTTTTGGCTACGTTTTCTATTATTTTTGTCTCTAAAAAGTATCCACGGTGACATATGGTTACGTCGCGAAAAAATTTGGGCGTCGCTATTTGTATTTTCGTCATAAAAAACATTATGTGACGAATTATGTCGTCACTAAGTCTGTCGCCAATTTGCTTCCCGCCATCTCGTGTGAGGATTAGAAAGTCTATGAAACTATTAGCAACAAATTTCATATTTCGTCGCTAATAGTTACTTTTGGCGACGAATTTTGAAATCGTCGTTAAAAAAATCGTAGCTAAAAGCCATTTTTGTTGTAGTAAGATTTGTTACATGCTGCTTTGTTGTTCCAAATAGCATAGCCTGCAGCCGCGATCATCACTCCATCATTTTGTTACCCATTGCATGAGGAGGCTATCGAGAAAAATCAACATTAGGGACGGATTAAATAATTAATTTCAAGGGGACAAGTTTAAAATAAACTAATATAATATATTTAATGAAAGTAAATGCTAATAGACCAATCTTTGCAGATTAAATAAAAACACTTGTTTGATTTATACTCACGATTGTAAGGAGGAGTATAGTAAGTGGCAGTCCCTTTAGCTGCATATGCGGCGGAGCTAAGGCACATTGCCATGGCCACCATCATCAAAATTTTCATTTCTAAACCCATTTTCTTTTTCCTTCACCTTATAGCTTGAAATGTATAGTTCTACTTCTCGGTTTGAAACAACTGAAGGGTTGCCTTCAATTTATAGAGGAAAAAAAAACGCACCCTTATAAATTAATTAATTAAGTCTAGAGTCAATTATCTTGACTTGGGTTGGTATAAAATTGATTAAGTCTTCTATGGATAAATTTGAGAAAGAAAGATAGAAAAAAAAAAAAAACTTGCCCTTCTCATATAAATTAATTAAGTCTAGTCAATTATCTAGATTGGGTTTCTGTAAAATTAATTAAGTCTTGTATGGATAAATTGGAAGACTCATGGAAACCACAAAACATTTTTGGTACACTTCCACCAACTTGGCTATATACTAGTACTTAATTTAACAACTACCAATTAACGTATTATAAATAAATGAGAAGAAAAATTTTAATATTACCTTGTGATATTTTTGTGATACGACTTATTTGAGTAAAATTTATGAAAAAGCATTTATTACAGTTGATATTTGAAGAGTTAAATTGACCTTTAATTCCACTCCAATGGTGACTAATTGGGATTTGGATATGTGAATTAGTCCACCTTCCAATTTCTAAGAGTAATGAGTGAACATCTCAGTGGAATTTATGACTTATGACAAACTTTTATTTTATGAGCATTTTCTTCAGTTAATTAAATTACAAGGGACACAATTGGGGTGGCAAAATTTTAGGGTAGAACTGGAATCGATGGGTATCTGGGTGTCTGTTTGGAACCTGAATCAGGACTAAATTGATATATATTAGATAGGATTTTTTTTTGATATTTTACATATGGGAGGTTTTTTTTGATATTTTGCATATCTATAAATTATAAAAAAAAATTGGTTTTTTTATCTTGTATCAAAGTCTTATTAATTTTTATAAAATATCAGTTTTTCAAAATTCTTATTAATATTTAAGTTTCACTTATTACTTGATTACAAAATTAATATACATTAACACATTTACGTTAAATAATAGCTTTTAAATTTATTATCGGTGAAAACAAACAATAAATCCTTATAATCAAGCATCAAACATTAAGTAATAAACAAATATATTATTTAATGTTTTGCACTTAATGTTAGGGGTGTAATGGTATAATTCTGCTTCTTGTTTGAAACAACTGAAGGGTTCCTTCAATTTATAGAGTAAAAAAAAAAAAAGGCACCCTTCTCACATAAATTAATTAATTAAGTCTAGAGTCATTATCTTGACTGGGTTGGTATAAAATTGATTAAGTCTTCTATGGATAAACTGAGAAAAGAAAAAAAAAAAAAAAAAAAAAAAAACTTGCCCTTCTCTCAAAATTGATTGTCTAGTCAATTATCTAATTTGGGTTTCCGTAAAATTAATTAGTCTTGTATGGTATTGGAAGACTCATGGAAACCACAAAACATTTTGGTACACTTGCATTTGTTGAAGGTGGGCGTTAACCCAAAAAAAAAAAACAAATATATATATATATATATATATAACAACTACCAATTATACTAATTATTAAAATAAATGAGGAAGAAAAATTTTAATAGTACCTTGAGATATTTTTGTGATAAATGACTTATTTGAGTAAAATTTATGAAAAAATAATTTATTACACGAGATATTTGAAGACTTAGAATTGACCTTTAATTGCTCAAAAATGGTGACTAATTGGGATAGTACAATTAGTCCAACCTTCCAATTTCTAAGAGTAATGAGTGAACATGTCTCAGTGGAAGGTTATGACTTATGATGAAGGAGCCGTTTGGATTGAGGGGCATATAAGACAACGGAGGCAATTTTCATTTATTTTACAAGATTTCGATGTTTGGTTTGCAAGTAATAAAATATTACGATAAATTTTTATTGTAAATAGTGTTTGCTGTTAGTAATATGGGGGATAATTTTATTACCTTTCTAGAGGGTGTTATTAAAATATTACCAGAGTAATATGATTTTTTTACTCATTTTGCCCTTGATTAAAAACCATTTCAAACACAATTGCCCTCAAATGTTTACCAAATAACAATTAGTTAGCCCCCCTATATTTGAGAAATTAGCTAAAATACCCCAACCACAAAAAAGTTTAAAAGTTAACAAAATATCCCTAGCCACTCAAGACCACAGTCGGCCGTGACTCACCACCATTAGCTGCCGGCGTCAGTCATTGTAATGGTGTATGACCAGAGGGATTTGGCCGGTTGTGCGCTGGTAAGGCCTTTCTCGGCCATATCTAGCGTTTCCATGGCTATTTCACTGCCAAAGATGTGGCCGTGAAATGACTGCAAATCTGGCCGTGAAATGGCCATAGATTTGGCTGTTTTTCAGCCATGGATTTGTAATCCATGGCCATTTCTGGCTTTGCCAGTGCATGACCAATCATACAACATTCTATCGACTGTTGACGGTGGTGATTGGCTGTCGAAAGTGGCTTGGGGTGGGTGGGGGTGATTTTGCTACAAATTAAAGTTTTATATGGTTAGGGTATTTTAGCAAAATTTCAAATGTAGGGGGTTAACAGAAATAACTCAAATAATAACAATAAAAAATACTATTATATTAATATTTAAAAAAGAGGACAATTTAGTAATCTATATAACATACTCACCGATTTATCTTCTTAACCAAACATATTATTCACCAATTTATTCGAACCAATCAAACACATTTTCTAAATATTCTCAGTAATCTTTAATATGATCTTTCTTTCCGTTAATATAATATACCCTTATAATAAAACATTATGTGATCCAAACGCTCCCTAACTGTTAATTTTATGAGCATTTTCTTCTAGTTAATTAAATTAGAAGCGGATACCATAGAATGTAATAACTGATACGATAGAATAATATCAACAATCACATTAATTTTAAAATGATATGATAAGTAATATTATTTTTTTAATAATTAATGTAATATCGAAACATCATCAAAATTGACTGGTGGGCTACTCGTGTGGTATTTACCCGTACCCAGCCCACTTGTAAAATTGACGGGTGGGCCGAGTGATACCCACGGGTACCCCATTAGATAAAAAAAATATATATATATTTTGAAAATGAAATTAGGCATTAGGGATTCACACCTCTCTCGCAAAATCAATTAGGCTATATATATGAATTACATACTAGCAGGTACGAATACACATCTTTACTCGTTCAAAAAAAAAGTATCCGTTGACTCGTACCCATTTAACCAACACCCGTGACTATCCAACCCGTACCTTCCCAGTCCGCCTGTTTGCTAGGTCTATCAATCACATAAGTTAATACCTAAAATTAAAAATTTAAGGAGCTTATATTAAGCTCTCATTTATTTAATTAAAATAAAGTGTGAACAAACAAACTCCTCAATTAAAGTTGTATTTGATCTTTCTTTCTCGGAAGAAGCAAAAGATAACTAAGGGTAGCTATCAAATTAATTAAGTCTCCCAACATTTTTTTGTCATTGGGTTTAATAATGAAGTAGGCACTGAACATGAATCAAGTCATCTCATCAATCTTGTCTTAATTTCATAGGTTCCTCCATATTTAATTTAAATATGTGAAATTAATAGTTCTTCAATTATAACATAAAGTAAGATGTATAGCATAAATGAAGCAAAAATATTACTTTACAACCTCAATTCATAACCTTCTCTTACACCCTAATGTACAACAGAGTTGCAATACAGCGTCAACTAACGACTTTGACTAAACATGAACACACGTTCCTTAGAGATGAACGATCGTTTATTCATAAGGAATGATGGTTCTATTTATAAGGAATTATTGTTTCTTCATAAGGAACAATCATTCATAAGAAATGAACGATTGTTCTTTCATAAAGAATAACTATTCTTTATGAAGAAACGATCATCGTCCATAAGAAACGATTGTTCGTGTCTAGTCAAAGTTTTTAGTGCTTGGATGTGCTGGGAGCTAATATGACAGTTGTCACACGTTGGGTTGTTGAGTTGGGTTGAAAAAAATTGTGAGATGGGTTTTGCGTAGAATTGCTCAACTTTGGAAGTGAAACTTAGAGGAGTTCAAATGTTTAATGGCTGCAACTTGGAGATGAGGCCCACCACGAAACTGGCTCTTTGGTTAACATTCTTAGTTGGTCTAGCTACGCTTGGTTGATATCATATTGGCCTACCAAGACCCTTTTTAAAAGTGGGAGAACGACATTTTCCCACCTGCAAGTTTTAAAATGACACTTTCCTACCTTTCGTCAAGTTTTGTTAGTATTTTATGTTAATATTTGATTGAAAAGATAAAATATCCTTAATAGTTTCTTTCTTATTAGTTTATTATGAATTAAATTTAGTTAAGTCAAAGTCTTACTCAATTATTTATTAGTTCAGGTGGAATTTTTTTTTCCTTTATTTATTTAATTAATTAGGAATATTGATTTTTTTATGTTAATTGGTAAAATGAAAAACATTATATTATGAAAAACATTATAAATTTAGTAGATATTGAATAATAGTGATGAAACATAGATGACATTAATAAATAAATATAAAATCATTTAACTTTAAACATTCATAACAACTTATTTTGTAGGTGGAGCCAACTATTTTTTCTTTTTTGACTTTTTGACTAATTAAAAAATAAAAAAATTTATAAAGTCAAGCATTTAAGGATATTTGTCTTATCAGTCAAATATTAACGGAAACTAACAGAACCTAACGAAGGTGGGAAAGTGTCATTTTGAAACTGAAGGGTGGGAAAGTGTCGATTCGCCAAACCTTGGGTGGGAAAATGTCATTCTCCCTTTTAAAGTGTTTGGTATCAAAGCTAGCACATATCATATGAGAATAAAAATTTAGATTATCTTATGTCAAAGATATTAATTTATGTCAAACAACATCTATATTAATCAAAGAATTAAAGTTATCAACTGTAACAGGTTTCATATCTGAACATATATTACATTGACATAAGAAGAAGTGAAAAAAATATAAATTTAAAAGTTACCAAGAATCTAGATATATTATTGATCTAGCTAGTAGACTTTTAA